CTGTGTTAGCCTCCACACTGCTGGTTCGTTTGATCCTTCCATCCTTGTACGACGATATCCATGACATGATGTCAGAAAAACAAAAACCACTGTGCAGATGAATCAGGAGCTGGCTGAATGCTTTGTGTTTGTTTCTTCCACTAACGAAGGAATAATCTCAGGTGGAACTTTATAAACTGTGGATTAGGAGCAGCTGGGTAAAAAAAAATGCAGTCCCTTAGCAACACTACCGCCTTCTCCCTACTGCAGCAACAGGCTGTTTACTCGTGCATCTGTGTGTGTGTGTGTGTGTGTGTGTGTGTGTGTGTGTGTGTGTGTGTGTGTGTGTGTGTGTACATGTGTGGTTGTGTTGGCCAATGGAAGGGAGCGGGGCATGGTTAAGCTCTTGCAGAGGGGAGGCCTCTTGCTGGGAAAGGCCAAGATGTTTTCTCGCTGCAGACACGGAGCAGGGGGCTTTGAAGTTAAAACAATAGACACGTTCACTGGTCCTCTCCCTGCTCCACCAGGTGGGTGGGAGTCTCACTTTAAGGGCCACCGCTTTGTCAGATAGCTTGCAGATCCCACCCACAGAGAGCACCAGGACAAGTGAATGAAACGCTATAGTGTCTTTGAGTGTGCAGACTGGAATATTGATGAAGCAAATATTTTCTCTCCATCTGATCTCATGTGAAGGACTCGCACTGTGGGAGTAGGTCAAGCAACAATAACGCCATTAGATTTAGAAAGTGGGCTTTTTTGTTTTCAAGTTTCAGGGAGAACGAGGAGGCAGAGTGAAAGACCACAGAGGGGGAAACACAAAGGAGAGTGGAGAAGGTTTGGGAGACGACCAAAACAAACAGTGTGTTCAACCAATGTAAATGGTTCTTTTTGCTGACTTGGAAAACGTGAAAGCGTTACCAGATGGAGACGAAGAGGAGAGAGTGCAGAAAGAGCTGTGGACACACTGATCCACAGAGCGATCCACACACTGATCCACACTGATCCACAGCGTTTGCAGTTGAAGCTAATAAATGTGCAAAAGTTTCAGAGTAAAACAAGCTTAAAAACCTGCTGTGTCTCCACAGACCTGCAGTCTTTCTAATGAATCCTCCAAAAACAAACCTGATGTCATACGTCAGCATTTTCCTTTAAAATCATTTTCAGCAGCACGACGTTTATCCCAATCAGAGTAAGAACAGCAGGGCATGTTTCAGATCTCTGTTACGCTGGTGTGGGCACTCTTCTGTCCACACACTCCCCACCCTGCTGCAGCCTTCACCTTATAGGACAGGCTGGCACATGGACAAATGCCAAACTTTAGGCATCAAGGTCAACAAGTGGCTCAGGCCACTTCATTAGGTAAACCTTGATATTAACAGCTTGGACCTCGCTTCATCCTCACAACTCTGCTAATTCTTTGTGCATTGCTCAGATGTGTTGGTCCATATTTACATGATAGCATCACACAGATGCTACAGAGTCGTCATGGTACACATTTCAAATTTGGTCATTGTGGAATCCATTTGAAAGGTTCAAGCCAGTTTAACCTGTTAGCAGTCGGACGTACCGCCCACGGTACATTGGATGGTTTAGGGGACTAATTGTAAATTTGTAGGACTGCTAAGGGGTTAAACTAGTTCAGGCTGATCTGAGCTGTGCCAAAAAACTGTCTTCCACACCACATTACACCGAGTGCTGCTACAAGGAAGAATGGATCCATACTTTATGCTGATTAGCATTTTGTGACCATTGTAGCAGAAATGGAGACTCAGCAGACTAGGCAGCGTTTTTCTAATCTTCTATTGTCCAGTGTTGGTGAGCTTATGTGAACTGTAGCCTCAGTTTCCTGTTCTTAGCTGACAGGGGGGCATACACTGTGGTCTGTGCATTCTGCTCTGACCTCTGGCATCAACAATTTGTGCCGAGAGAACCGCCGCTCACTCATATTTTCTTTTTTCCCTCAACCATTCTCTAAAACCAGAAAGATGATTGTGTGGAAAATCCCAGAAGAGCTACACTTTCTGAATTACTGAGTCAATCACCTTGCTACATTCTATCATTTCAATCATCTTTCTTAAAGCAAATTTAGTGGTATTTGTATCAGTAGGTACGTTCTACTGATACCTGTACTGATTGCCAAGAAAATGAAAACAGAACCATAACTCAGTGGGTACAGAGCCTGAAAATGGTCTAAACAATGGTCTGCAATTCAACATGGACATTCCCCCACCCCTCCAAAAAACATCATTTTACTTCCTTTAGATTCCAAACCTGGAAAAAGATGTGGTGACGCTCACCTGAGAGACGCCAGGAGCAAACCTGGTTTACTCTCAGTAGCTCTGTGGTAAAACAAGTCCTCTAATTGTTCTTTCCATCCTTCTCTCCTCAGGGACGTCATCAAGAGAATAGACCAGTCCGAGTTTGAGGGATTTGAATACATCAACCCCCTGCTGCTAGCCACAGAAGAGTCTGTATGAAGGAGAAACCAGCGTCCTCCTCTGAGCTGCTGTTCAAAAACAGAAACAAACAAACTTGCAAGCCAACTCAACTCAGAAAGGCGACAACAAGGAGGAAGTTCCCCCTGGACCTGTCCACAAGGCAAACGGGAGGAGGGAGAGTTTTTCCCTGGGGAGCCGGACGCCGGACTACAGGAACATTCCCTGACTTTATGCTGTCTTCTCCTTTTCTTTGTTTGGTCATGTTGTCCCTGTCAGTCCATCCTCGTGTCAGAGCAGGACTGGCTGTGTGAGCGTTTCATTCTGTGCCTGCCACCATCAACACGTTTCAGCCCATCTCACGCCCTGGATGAATACGACGGCTCTGCGGAACAACTTTAAATAATTTTACGTGCAATTTTTTATTCTTCTTTTTTTTTTCTATCTTGGTAGGGGGGCCACGCCTCACACACACAAGAATGTACAATGACAAAGGAGAAAATGTTGTTATTGTGTATTATGATGTAGCTAGTGAATCCAAAATTGATGATGCCTTTTATTGATGCAAGCGGCACATGTTCCTCCATAACCACAAACTTTTCTTTGTGTTCTGTTGTTTTCACAAACAAGGGGGTGACAACTTTTTATTTAAGAAGTGCCTCAAAGATCAAATGATTTCCCGTGTCTCTGACTGCACCTCTATCTGTTCACCTGTTACGGCTGCAGCAGGTAACGCAGCTGAAACTCTGCCAGGGTATGTCCGAACTCTCGTCCAGCGTATGGAGCTCGCTAAGCTGCCTCAGTCCCCACACACAAACAAACCTTCTTATTTTTAACGAATCGTTCAAATAATCAACATTTCCTGTGAATGTGTAATTGACACAAGCAGCTGGGAGGAGACCTGACCTCTTTCCTTACACATGTGTAATTGTAATATTTCCCAGTGAAGGTCCGCGTTATCGTCACATAGGTGAGGAGCAGCAGACAGACTTGGCCCATGCCTGCTGTCAGACGTTGGCTTCAGCTTCCACAGTAAATGCAGCTTTGGGTTCCTCCTCACCAGGTGCTGCTGCGTGACCATCTGTGTGACCTGCTGGGGGAAACTGGTCACCGTTTCCTTTATGTGCTCACTGTGTGGTTCCATGTCTACAGTGACCTGCTGCAACGACAGCTGGAAATCTGTTTGCAAGTCTAAATGAAATGGGAGAACAGCAGAAAAGCCATGAGAGCTTTTCCATGGTGTTCACAGACATTAGTGGGTCTTCCCTGTGTGGGGGAACAAAGCTTTTTTGGGTTAAATTCCAGGTGTGTTACTTTGGAGTTTCTCTCAACGCCCAGTCAGTCTCAGCAAAGGCCGCCCTCCCTGAGCCTGGTTCTGGCAGAAGTCTGTTCCCATTAAACAGGCGTTCTTCCTCCCTACTGTTGCCAAGCTCTGTTTATAGAGGATCATCTGATTGTTGAGGACTATGCCTACAGTACTAGAGATACTGTAAAAAAGTGCCCTGAGACAACTGCTGGGGCGCTAAAGAAAGAAAAGTGGGTCATTCCCAGTCTCAGCTGGAATGTTCTGGATGAGTGTTAGTCAGGGGTTGGAGGATTAGGTCACTATTATAATTCATGCCCTCCATCATGCAGCTGCTGGTGCACAACAGCTATAAAACCAGTACGAAGCCATGAGTTTGTCTTTACTATATAATGAAGTTTTCAGGACACTTTAACTCTGTATACTGCCTCCTTTTATACACAGCAAGCAACATATCAGTACCTAACTGAAGCTTTGATGTTTTAATGCTGGGACATCAGTGAGCACACATTCATGTCTCCAACACAACTCAGTGCTTCTGATGCAAGCTGTGTGTATCTGCATACATGTTCTTCTGAGGGAGGAGAAGCTCTCAGTTAGCTGTTTGTGATTAAACTTGACCCACGCTAATTTAATACCCTCATAATAGGATTAATTAGCTGATCAGTCACAGGGCCTCAATTAGCTGCAGGCCCTGTACAGGCAGGGAGACGGCGTAATGAAGTTCCAGTCACAATGAAAATACACACCTCTAATCTAAAGAAGCATCCTCCTCCTCCAACCCCGACACTCCATCTCACAGACTGTATTTTATTACCTGCACACAGGTGATACATTAGTGATGCTGTTTTTCCCCTTAAGGGACCAATGGGTAAACTGGAAGCTCTTGACTCCACCTTACAGAACATGAAGGCCGCTCAAACCCCATGAAGGATTATTGAACTACAGTTCTGCTTTTACATAATGCTGGCCAGGTCTGCTTCATTTAGCTTCATCGCATCTTTGTAAATATGTGTAATTATTAAAAATCAAACTGGTTTTCTGTGAACAGAGTACTTTTTTCTCTCACTTACGTCCTTTATTTGTGCCGACGACAGCAGGAAGATCTGTGCAGATGCTACAGATTTCTATGCGAGTGAACACTTGGGCTCATACAGCTCCTCTGATCAGCCCTCAGCTCTGTTCATGCAGAGAAGCACAGTCACCCTGAACCTAACGATACTGGGCTCAGTCACACTCGGTGAAAAATGATTTGCCCCTTCCTGATTTAACAAATAATTTAATATTAGACAAATAATCTGAGTATTATTTATTTATTAAGATCTGCCTTTTGTGAAAAGGCAGGTTTGCATAAGTGGTTGAACATTAGCTGTGGTGTCCCACAAGGTTCAGTATTGGGTCCCAGACTGTTTCCTGTGTGTATCACTGACATGTGTAGAGTGACAGACATACTGAGGTTTCTTGTGTTGCACATGATACAGCCGTTCTTGGAGGTTGTCAGTGAAGAAACTGATAAATGTTGGTTTGATCAAAAAGAAGTTCTCTTTGAATTTATTCCAAACCAAATTTATGTTGTTTGTAAATTAAATTGAGAAATGTATATAAATGTGGAACTAGATGTTGATAAGGTATCCACTGAAAAGGTCTTTCCTATATGGGAACCACATAACAAACAGGTGTGTAACGAGATGGCAAACACCGTCGGGATTTTGGGAAAACCAAGGCTCATCCTAACCAATGAAAGACTGCACACACTGTTACTGCCATATTTATATTATTGTGGTGAACTCTGGATGTTCCCCACAAAACATATGCACAATGCAAAAAGAGCAGTAAGGATCATACATCATGTACATTTGTCCAGTAAAAGCACCGCTTGCACCTGCTCCCTGGGACTATAGATACAGCAGCTGGAAATCCAGGCAGCAAGAATCAGGACTGAATGAGAATAGTCAGGCTCATGTGTTACACTGCAGTCACACCATCAATGCAGAGAAATGAAGAAGGTGACATTGTAGAACTGCATTACGTAGATAGCTGCAGAGTATACCAGGGTGGGTGACCTTGCGAGCACAGCTCTACTTGTGTGGGTGTACGTGCACTGCAATGCCATCATGAATGAAGCCGACCGGATCATCTTGAACTCAAAGCTAATAAAGATTACAGTTACTTTTACAAGAAAAAAAAGACACACAGGTTACAGTGTCTGTTACTGAGTTTTAAAGTAAAGTGTACACTCAGTACGACTAATCAGCCATGAAAACATGGTGTGCTCGTGCACCGAAGAAGTTCCCTCATCTCACTGCAGCTCAGTCAGCAGAGTTCTCTGCACAGGCTGCTGTCTGCACCGTCGTCCTCCGTGCGATACGACCCCGGAGCAGCAACCGGGCGCCTTGTAGACCGTCGGCATCGATTCAGCTTACCAGGTCATGTCCACATTCATTTCAGACAGACAGTGGGCCAGGTGACCATCGCAGTCCATCTGGGTGAACCTGGAGAACCAAGAACAACTAGACTGTACTGGATGTGGTGAACTGGACCTCTCCATCTGTGGGCACCACTTATGCAGCAGAATCTGGACAACTGTTTGTTTGGACCTTGTGCTGAAACTGCACTGCACCTCAGACAGCATATAAACATTTTTATATTTATGTAATTATGTCATGTTGATTCTGACATGAAAGCAGAGGTCACGGGATGATGCTATGCAAGACCTGCACAATAAAAACATATATGGAAGTTCTGCTGTAAGGTAATGTTGATCCTTTGGAGGCTGGGCAGTCAGCTTTGTGATGCTGTCACTTTTAAACCTCCAGTTTTGAATTTTGGCCCATTGTGTATTTGAGTTTGACACCCCGACTCTAAAACTTAAACTAGTTTGTTTACTTGTCGTTATCCATTTAACTAACAAGAGCTACACACACTGAAAACATCTAACTGGTGACCAGCTTCAGCTGGATGCCATCTGGCTGGTCGCTGATGTCATAAAGAATCATTAAAAAATAAATTAATAAAAATCAGCAACAATGCACAAAGGAAAAAAGTCCCTATGCTGATGTGAATGAAGAAAGAAAAGCACCCGATCAGTTCTTACCCAGCAGGGAACACTTGGAGACACATGGGACAACTCTGCAGTCCTCCTCCTGCTCCTCCATCTGCTCCTCTTCCTCCATCTTTTTTGCCGCACCCTTGCACCTCCTCTTCCTTTTTAGCTTCGACCTCATTCTGCAGAGGAACTCTGTCAGATACCTTCACCCAGTATGTTGGAAGCTTCCTACTGACTGGTCCAGTCGCTTTCCTCCCCTCCTCCTTCCCAGCACTGGAAAATCCTGGTGATGGCAGCGCCTCCACCCAGCTGTGCAGGGACGGCCGCCGTGTTTTGCTGAGGGTTTGAGGAGAGTGAGTGGAGCTCTCCATGCTGTGGGAGCACGGGCCTCTGACAGGTGGCTCTGGCACCGCGCTGGTGTGTGCTGTGGGGTCCTCCGGGGAGGAGCTGAGCCCGACAGGATCTGGGATCTGTGACGGTCTCAGAGAAAGATGAGACGGTTCAGGGAAGGTAGAAACCTCACTGCTGAGGTCGCACCACCCCTGTTCCTCCACCCAAAGTCCCGCAGGTCTCTAAAAACAAGGAGAAAACAGGAATAAGGGTCTGACAACAGGTGTGTGGAACTTCAGCCAGTCATGCGGAGCGTGCTGTGGACAGTTGATCTTTGGATGATTACATGAATACACAGGTGTGTGTGTGTCATGTAAATGTTCCTCACCAATGGAAATAGGCCAGCAGCTCTAACATTATAGAAAAAAAATTACAATTAGTTGTTTAGGTGTCATTTTGAATGTTTTAACCAACCAAAAGTCCAAAGATATTAGTTTCATCATGATCTACAAAAGAAGTTACATTTCCCTATATCCCCTTCAAAAAGGAAAAAAAAGACTTTATTCTATAGTGTCAGTGTTTAACTAAGTGTTGGTTCAACCTCAAGGGCTCAAAAATGAGACAGAAGTGCCAAACAAACACGCTTGCTCTAACAGCCACCCTGGAGAGCAGCTCTGCAGGTCCTCCATCTTCTGATGTCCAACTTTACAGCTGAACTAAGGATGTTTAGTGCCTGGTGTTTCTCAAAGTCAGGGTGTGGTTTCCCCCTGGTAACAAGTGTTACTATACTTTGGAAGGAAGGGGCACAGCAGCTTTAATATAAGCTATCATCCATCCTTTAACTTCACTGATCGGACCTTTTTGAACATTTGAATAGATTTAGCATTTTAATCTGACTCTTGGGTTTACGAGAACCACCCCCTAATCAACTTCATACACAACCAGGAATCCCACCCTTCTCAATAAAGGGGTTGATATACTGTAGTTGTTCTTGGAAAAATTCAGTTTTCATAATACAGTGCTTAAAAACATCCTCCTTCCAACACTCAACAGCAATATTGCCCAAACTGGATGAGTTCCTCTCTTTGGGAATCTAAACCTCCTCCACTGGTTGCTGACCTTCCCATCAAGTCATCTTTAAGGTCTTCCATACATGCTGAAGAAGCTCTGGGCAACATTTGTAGACCTAACATATGCCTGGAACAGATGCTGAGCAAGCTGCCTTGATCACCTCCTCAGCATCCTTCAAAGTGACCTGGAGGACACCAATCACTTCCCCTATGGAACACTTCAACCAATCACTTTGCCCGTTTCCGGGTTGGCAATGAAGGCTGCTCGCTTCCTGGCTCTCTCTCTCTCTCTCTCTTCCCCTCCTGTTCGTTTAAACCAATTACCACATATATTTATAAATTATATCTATACAGACACACATCAGTACAATACAATGCAGTTTATGGATGCAGCCTAATTACCAAGCTTGTTAGTCTTTTCTGATAACTTCTATGCTCCTGACACAATGAAACATGTTTGGGGTTCATACATGGTGGCCTTCTTTTACATCCTATCTAATACAGCATCCTTTGAGATGTATTTAGGAGTGGGTCAAGACATGGATACAGAAATATACTGCTCAAAAAATGAAAGCAACACTAAGAAAACACATCAGATCTCGGGAAAAGAAAAAATTTCTGACAGTGGCGACTATCAAACGAAAAACAAGACAAAGAAGATGTTAACGTCAAATGGCTTTTTGTTTGTACTGTATCATAGTGACATCTCTATAATGTGCAATGCATCACAATAAAATATCACAATGATTGAAATGAACCCCTGAGGTGGATAATTCCCACCCCATCTTCTCCACACTGCCTACTGAGAACTTGCAACATCACTATGTTCTCCCTGTTGTCTCCAAGTTGCACAGGAGCATCACAGCACACAGGCTCCTGTGTCTGACAGAGAAACTCCACCTGTCAGAGGCCAGCGGACACGCTGTCATACAGAGGACACAGCAGGAACACTCTAGAATATTAGAACTGTGAACATTTGGCACTTTGTGTGCTCGTGTCTTGTTGGGAGCTTCATCATATTCCCTGCAGGAGCTGTGTAATGCAGTAACATACCGCTGCAGATGCATGTGGAAGATCAGGAACCTGGTCCCAGAGCTGCTCTTCCAGGCATGGCAGAGTAGCCTGGAGTGTGAATGCCCACAGGCTCTCCACAGCAAGCAGCTGCTGTCTGTTCCACCACGCTCCTGCAGGAAGCGTCGGCCTGTGAAGCAGATCATCCACACTGTGAACTGCTGCATTCTCCTCACATTGCTCCTCATGCATGCATCTCCACACAAACCATCACTAAACAAATACGACACAACTTTGACTCGAGTATTTCCACACACATTTGTTATTTTTCCATTTATTAATCAATCTGTAGGAATTTTTAGTCAATCAGATTATTTCTGAAGCTGCTCTTTGATCTGGTGAACACTGCAAACGAAACGAAACAGATTTAATAACACAGCAAAGCTTCACATCAGCTGGTTTTTAACTGCATTAAAAACACCTCACTGTAAATAGTTGTATGTGTGCCTTTTTACTTTGTTTGTTTCCATTAGAAAGAAAATTCAATTAAAAATGTTGAATTTTTACTGGTTACCAAACTCCAGCCATCACATCAGACACTAAAAAAACCCCAACAGACTAATAAAATACCAGAACTCCACTCAGCAAAACTAAAACACAACAAGGACAGCAGTGAAATAAATTTTCCCCAAAGGCAGCAGCGGTGAAATCGAGCAGACAGTCCGGTTTAATGATGCCTGGATGACATCAACACGCTCCGATGTCTCAGCCTTGAGCAGTTAAATGGATACGAGCTGTCACATGACATCCATAGACATCACAACCACGCCACGCAAAAATACCTTTTAACACAACCTTTTTGGAAGTATTGAGGCTCTTCAGGATGTGAGAGGACACTTAATGTGTCGCTGTTGTCTCTTTCTTGAATCGTGACCAATGATAATATACAAACTGATACTTAGTTATCTTTGTCTACGGAGCCACAGATGACAGCTGGTTAAACTACAGACACGTCCTAAACACCTATAATTTTCTTCTGTAAAATTGTACTATTGTTGTTATTGTTCTCTGCCCTGAAAGCCTCAGTGTCGAACCAGATAATCTGGATGACCTCCACTAACACTGTGACGTTTTCTAAAGCAGTTTTTGAGCAGGAAATGTGCTTCAGTGGGCCCATTAAACACGCAGGGCTGATATCTATCATCTTTGTGAAACGAGAAATATCCTGTCTGAGAATAGACGCAGAAATAGGGGCAGAAATAGGGGCTAGAAAAACAGACGATTTTTCCCACCCTGGCTTCTCTTCTTTGTTTTCCTGTTAAATTCTGAATGTAATGTAAAATTCTCTCAGACTAAAAGTAGATCAGGGAGCTGAAGCCTCTACTTTTACGATTACACCCTTTCTTTGGATAAAGCTTGCAGCTCAGACATGACCCTGAGCCAGCCTTACTTCTGCTGCAGGGCTCAGGGTGCGAGCATTCACTGCTGTATGGTAAATGGTAAATGGCCTGCATTTGTATAGCGCTTTTCTAGTCCCTAAGGACCCCAAAGCGCTTCACACTACATTCAGTCATCCACCCATTCACACACACTAGTGATGGGATACATTAGTGATGGGATACATTGTAGCCACAGCTGCCCTGGGGCGCACTGACAGACACTGGCGCCACCGTGGCCCTCTGACCACCACCAGTAGGCAAACATGGGGTTAGTATCTTGCCCAAGGATATTTGGCATGCAGCCAGGAGGCAGCCTGGGATCGAACCACCGACCTTCTGATTAGTGGCTGACCTGCTCTCGAACCACCGACCTTCTGATTAGTGGCTGACCTGCTCTGCCACCTGAGCCACAGCCACCCCAATGTCAATAACTTCTGTCTTCTCTTGTTTCTGTTTTGTCCTTGTCCCCCAACACGTCCCCCAACACGTCCCCCAACACGTCCCCCAACACATCCCCCCTCCCTGCGAGCCTTGCTGTGGTTTCTTCCCATTAAAAGACAGACTCTTCCTCCCCATAAGGGCCCAGTGCTTGCTCAGAGGGGATTGCTGGGGTCTTCTCTCTAACATAGGGGGTCTTTACGTACAGTACTGGATCTAATTCAGTGCAAACCTAGTCTCGGGTGCAGGGAGGTGCACATCACGTTACAGCAGAGTTTAAGCTCTGTGGTTATGAAATACTTTGATTTAACACAGAAGGAGAAATTTACATTTACTGTAAAAATCAAACAAAAGTAGATCGTTTTACTGACTGGAATTCTGTTGCCTGTTTGTTTAGTAAAACTCATTCATTTAACTTGGATCCCGACTAGTTCCGTTTAATTTGAGAGTGTTAGTAAAAGAAGGTTTGAGTGGAGCCTGCTGTCGTTACAGTAACAGATCTCAGTCCTGTCCTCCATGAGGACCGCTCAGTCATTGAAGTCTGATAACAGGTTGGCAGCATCATCAACACATATCTAAAGCCAAGCTATGGTACCGGAAATGCAAAAAGTCGGATCGGTGCATGGTTACTTCAAAGAGCTTTCATATATCATATATTTATCATTATTATCATCTTATGTTTGACTCTCCTACAGGCCCGGGTTGTAGCTACATACAGTTTATTCCAGGCAGCAGGAACCGTTTCGACCATAAACAAAAATGTGCCTTTGTTGCTCTTTAATGAGCAGAGTTCAGTGATTCGCGTTACTCGGCTTTTTACGTCCAGTAGGTGTCCTACTAGAGCAAATGAAGCTTCAAGACGCTTTGCGCTGGGGTGAACCAATTGGATGAAAAGCTTCAGTGCTTCATGAAGCTTCATCTGCCCATCACTATCGTTAACGGCCCAGATTGTGTTTTCTCAACCTTTAAGGTAAAGTTGTCGGTGCAAACACACTCACCCACCGCTCTTTGCCGGGTTGTTGCTGGACGTTGTCGGGCTCCTCTTCGGTGCTCCCCCGGAACCTTCGACCGTTGACTTCTTTCGCTTCAGTCTGGACTTCAAGTGATTTTCTTCCATATCTGCGTTTCACAACAACTCACAGCTCCCCGCCAGCTATTCTAACAACGACTTCCGTATCCCGCAACCTGACGTCACTCGAGTACATCCAATCAGCTACGTCTCCCACGAGAACTCGAACCAATAGAATTCTACAACGATAACGGAGCAGTCACGTGAAAATCCTGCACGAACTGATGCAGAAGTGATATCAGGGCTCGTTCAAAGATTTCTTTTCTTCTTAGTGGATTTCACAGATTTATGAATATTAATAATAATAAAATGTTCTACTTTGGCTTTACTTTAGATACTGAGAGAGGGAAAAATATGGATTTGAAGCTTCACTGACGCTGTGGCACTTACATCACTGGCCTCGGATTAAGTAGTCTTAACTATTTAAGGCTGGGCTTAGCTGGGACTTGTAGAACATGTGTGTTTTAAGTGGACTGGACCAGCATACTGTTTTTACAAATATTAATGGCATAAAAAGAAAAATTACAAAACTTAATGAGACAGGTAGTAATAGATATGTTGTTTAGAAGTACTCTGACTCAGTAAGACCCAGAGAAGAATAACATACATGTGAGATTTTTTGATTTTTCAGCCCCTTCACACACCTTATGGAAAGTTATCCACATCCTCGCATACATCATTCTAACTGTGGAGACAGGGATGTGGCTCAAGAGTTGGGAGTTCGCCTTGTAATCGGAAGGTTGCCAGTTTGAGCCCCAGCTTGGACAGTCTCGGTCGTTGTGTCCTTGGGCAAGACACTTCACCCGTTGCCTACTGGTGGTGGTCAGAGGGCCCGGTGGCGCCAGTGTCCGGCAGCCTCGCCTCTGTCAGTGCGCCCCAGGGTGGCTGTGGCTACATTGTAGCTTGCCATCACCAGTGTGTGAATGTGTGTGTGAATGGGTGAATGACAGGTTGTGTAAAGCGCTTTGGGGTCCTTAGGGACTAGAAAAGCGCTATACAAATACAGGCCATTTACCATGTGTGCAGAAACACGGGAGCTGTCATGGTTCTGGGGCTTTTGAGCTAGCATTTCGACTTTCATGCCTTTTTGTGTTACGATGTTCTGGTTTAGGCTTCAGTTAGTTCTGTTTCCTGTTTAGGTCTGTTTAGGTTCCTCCCAGGTCTGTGTCTTCTCCACTATGTTGGTTATGGTGTCGCACCTTCAGTGTTCGAGTCTGTCAGCTGTGTTCGGCCTAGCTGTCACGTTCTCTGTATTTGTTCCTTAGCTGTGTCCGTGTCTCATCACCCGTTTCTATTTCCCCATCACCATGTCAAGTCTGTGTGTTTCCTGTTTGACTTTGACAGTCTTGTGTCACATGTTCAGTTTGCTTCCGCCTGTCTTGTCATTATGTTCCAGGTTTCATGTTCAGGGCGTTTTCGTGTTTAATTTGAGGTTACTCAGTTTTTAGCCTTTGCCCTTTGTTTTGTGTTTTTTCTACCAGCCTTATTAAACGGCTCGCTTTCTGTTAAAACCAAGTTCTGTTCCACGCGTCTGCTTTTGGGTCCACACCTCAACTTCACACGATCTGCCTGTGTTAATCGTGACCGAAGCAAAGCACAAACTACAGGAAAGAAAATGGATAAATTTCATGGCATGACAGAAAAAAGACTCGTCCATGAATGGAGGGGCGAGCTCACTGAGTTGGTTAAACAACTCTTTGTTGGCAGGGCCCCTGGGGTGAATGAGATTCAGCCTTGGATGTTGTGGGGCTGTCCTGGTTGGCACACTTGTGCAATGTTGAATGGCGATCTGGGGCAGTGCCTTTGGATAGGCTGAAATGGAGGTTCCCATCTTTCATAAGGGGGTGCTCACATCACTCAGCTTCCCTGGTAAGGTTAATGGCAGGGTACTGAAAAGGAGAGTCTATCCATTTCATTGTTTACATGGAGAAGGCTTTAACCACTTGGGGAGAGTGGAATATCTGGTCCATTATTGCGTGCTCTTTAGTCCCTGTAAACCAGAGTGAGAGCCTGGGCTGCAGGTTTTACTGCAGCAGGCTGGGTTTGTTTCCGGTGGGTACCAAACTTCACATAGGCTGTTGTGTGGTGGCCTCATAAAAAAGTGCTCTGTTGTGACTGTAAGACACAATGAGTTCTTTAAGATATAATAGTCTTTAAGGTATTTGTCAATAAACCAGCAGGAGCAGATCCACGCGGGTCAGTTGGCATTGTTGTCCTTAATGCAGCTGGCAGAAGGTCAGCTCTGTTAATCTGTGCTTATTAAAAACGAACACTGGAAACGACAAGTGAACTTGATAAAAATCAAAGGGATCTTTGGATTTTTACAGCTTGAACAAAACAACCGTTCAGATTATGTGAGCCTATAATAACCTATTCTATGTCTTCACTTCATGGTCATACGGTCAGGACGCAGAAGGCAGGCAGTGAAGGAAGGCCAGAACAGTGGTCGGCCCCTAAATGGCTTCATACCTCACCTGTTTACACTCATCCTGTTTTTGCACTGTCGTGTCCAGAGGTGGCTGTTGCTTCAGCTGTCAGATCTGTTGTCTCCATCATGTCCGTTTGGAAAAAGCTGCACCTGTACTTGCAATCTATTATTAGTCGTCAGTAAGACTGCAAAGTGCTCCAAGTTCATTTCCACTAGTCATAGTAAGGACATGCCCAGCTCTGTGCTACACTTTGTCTGTTTTTGAACTGATATTGTAAAATAAGCTTAAACAGCAGCGCTTAGGAAGGAAAATCCTTGTTTCACAAAATGTTTGCAAGCTTTATCATGTAACACACAATCCAGGCAAACTGTGTGATGTGATTATGACCTGATGTGACTTAAAGCATCGATCAAATGGAAAAGCAGCCTTTGAATGCATGACCTAACCATCAACTGTCACACTTAATACACTAACAATATTGTGTCAGTCTTGCTCAAGGATTCATTCAGTGCAAGATTACATCATAAGAAATGTTACTGTAATCATGAGAGTTTGTTCCTTTGCTAGGACACACATAAAGTGGAAACTTGAAGTGGTGGGACTTTCTGAGCCTTTTATGCTTTTGGCCAGAGGACAGGGACCAACGGAGAGCGGCAACAATTATGCAATGGAAAAAGACGAGGCAAAGCTGGACTGAATGAAAGGAAAAGCAAAGAAAGGAAAGAAGACAGCATTATTCAAAATAATGGAAAACAGAACTATGTGAAAACTTGCTACTTTAAAATAAGATGAGAGCTTTTTTTGAACTGGTTCCCTGTAAGATGAGTATTGCAGAAAGACTTCACGATGGTTTTTTCTACCTCAGCCACAGAGGGGGAACACACAAAGCAGGGCTGTGGGCCAGGACTGTGGTACATAGAAGTAACCCGGCGCCTGGAAAGAAACATTATGTCACTCCTCACACATGATGCTGTGTTGTGCTCGGCTTCCATAGAGACGACGAGGAAGCCTCAGCAGCAGCACCAATAGTTTGGAAGGGTACACCGCCAGCAGTTTTCCTGTGGAGTGATGAAAACATCGCTCCACAACTAACTATTCACAGCTTCTGATCGATTGTAGCCAATTGTAACAATTCCTCTATTATCCTCATTTGCAGCTCACTCTTTTTTTCCCTGGGACTTCACAACAACAGCTTTGGAGTCACAGTTTAACAAAAAAACTCAATCTGCCAACTTCCGGACAACTGCTAAGAGGCAGCCCCAGGGACAGTGCAGAGTGTACACTATGAACATTTCTATCTAAAAAGACACTGTTAGTATGTTTGATCAATAGTGTGCTGCGTACATGCTTTCCCCCTGCTGAATGTGAGGAAGAGTTGCTCACTGGAGGCTTTGGGTTAGCTGTTCCACATCTAGGAATACTTCTTGTTCGATTGGGGGATCTCATGTGAGAGTTTGCCCAAGTACTTGAGGACTTGAAGAAGCGTATCACTGCATCCATCAGACTCTCTTATGGGGATCCTTTCGGAGTGCTTAGTGAGGGCTTGGTTCACATTGGCAGCAGTGAGTTAGATTTGTTGCACTGAGCCAGCCTAGTGTCTGTGATTTATCATATGAATACAAGTTCTTGGCTTAGCTAAGAGTATATCCAGTTCTGGCTACTTGGGCTTGCGTTTAGTAGATGATGTGGTCCTGTTGGCTTCACTGAGTAGTGAACCCCAGGTTCCACAGGGGCAGAGTCACACTACTACATGTCAAACTAGGGTTCATCGCTAGGAAAGACTGGATTGCATGTCTCAAGTGGATGTTTTTGTCTCAAGTGGATGTGTTTTGAGTGTCTTGTGGCCTTGAGGAAAAAGTGGGCTGTGAGGTTGATGGATGTTGCAAGTGCAAGATCTCCAGTGATGTGGTATCATGTAGAGTGCAGATGTGGACCCAGATACAGACTGGTTTACAGAGTTAAAAAAACAAAAACACAAACCTTTATTTAGACAAATGGAAAGTCTAACAGCACCAAGTAACAAAATCCAACAAACTCAAACCAGAAGACACAGACAGGAAGAACCACAGCGAGCAAACAGCACGACACAACAAAGGATGGAGACAAACCAACACCTCACATACACGAATGAGGCAATCAGGGGAAATGGACATGATACAGTTGTAACTAATGAAATGAAACATGGAAATAAACTAAATACAAAGCACAGGGACACGTGACTATCAAAATAACATGGACGGTAATAAACAAGGAAAAATAACAGAGCGATGGAGACTTAATTAAAAACAGGGAAGACAGGAAAAACAAAAATAACAACAAACTACAACCATGAACATAAACCAGATTACAAACTTACAGGGTTACTATAAATAACAAATGTAACCTATAAAACAGATAAGACCAAAGTTCTGGAGTAATACCTGAAAAGCAAACTTAAGAAACAAGCTATATAATAATACACAGAACTGGAAGGATCAGAAAAGAGAATCAGTAACACAGGGTAACAGACCCAGGACCATTAATATTAATTTAGATAAATATATTCATATATTAAACTAAACTGCATGGTCTCTGCCCCCCCCCCCCGATCTATTTCCGTGGCCCAACTGCTGGTTATGCAACAAATATGCAGAAAACTAAGAAATGAAGAAGGATGCAGATATTTTGTGATGGCACTATATCCGTGAGGAGTGAAAGAGTGGAACAGAAACAGAGTTGCTCGATTCATTGTGGGAAGTTCCCCCAACAGCCTCAGACTATAATAACATAACTAAGAGATGGTTGAGAGTCTATGAGGTGTATGCTCTATCAAAAAGGACAGCTTTAAGCCTAATCCTTAAATTAGAGACACGTCTGCCTCCACAATCCAAACTGGAAGCTGGTTCCACAGGAGAAGATCCTCACAGCTCAATTCTGTCTTATTGCAACTGATTTTTCACATGCATCTCTCAGTCCTCCATAGCTCATCTCCAGCTGGTGCAGCACACAGCAGCAAAGCTGGATTTTATGGGTTAGGCTTTCTTTAATCTTCTCCCCTTTATTTTTGGCCATAGTTTGCAACAATGCATGCATGCATGTGTGCATGTTGGAACCAGTGTCTGTTGTTATGGCTGATTGTGTTTGCGGTTTATGTGTCTGTATGTTTTAACATGTACACTTACATGTTTCTTTCTTACCTCATTATTTGAAACCTGGTTCCATATTACTCCAACATTCACTGTAACATTATATACACTGTACCACACATCTGCTCCATTTCACCATTGGTCGTCCAGACACTTTATCTGGAGGCAGCCTTTGGAATTGGTTATGCCTACGTTCCAAAAACATGGAATTGCAGCCATGACCGTGTGAGGAAAGGCTGCCGTCGTTCTTTGGGGTTTTCTGGATTAGTCCTGGGAGGAAAGATTTTAAGCATTAGCTCTAAGCACTGTCTCAGCTCTGTCAAAAATAACCTGCTGAAGAGCGTGCTAGTGTACAGCACAAGTTACCATGGTGATGTACCCTGATAAGAAGCAAGCCACTGTTGTGACACTGAAGGTCTGAATTCGAACTTACCTCACTAACCACATATGAGTAAATGATAATCACAGATGAGCTCGCTGGATGTTTGGGGGGGGGCAAGCACTGCTTGCTGGTAAGAACATGAATCATTGAAAATGAGGCTTGGCACACACTCTGCACTGTCTAACAGCTTTGGCCTTGATAGAATGAGAAGCCTAAAGGAAACAAAAGCTTTGTATCTCACTTGAAACTGTTGGAGAGAGAAGACAAAATCCACACACAGCCAGTAAACACAGTGTGCCAGTATCAGTGCCACAGCTGTATGCTGCTGAGAGGATGGTGTCCTGCTGTTAAGCTATCTGCCATTTGTAAGGGCTGGAGCCCAGACCTGTGCCTCCAACACCTCAGGTCCACTGGCTGCACACTGTATAAAGGTTATTTTAAAACTTTACACCTAATCAGTCAACGGTGGGGCTGTGTCTATTAACTCACCCCATTCATTTTAAAGCTGTCTCTCGCTGTATTAACACATACAGTCAAAGAGCACAGATGACTGTGCAGTCATAAATCTCAGGTTCTGTCTTGCTGCAGACAGCACACTGAGATCCTTGACCCCCGATCCTGCCATAACGTTGCAGTTACAACACTGTGTGGGTAGGGGACGCCACAGGAACAGCAAACTCGTACTGGAGTTGAACTTCGACTCGGACCCCCTGAGGTTGAGCTTGTATGTTTGAATCAGCCATTTATTTTTCTCCTCTTCACTTGTTATAGCAAAGTTCAGAGAAAACAAAGAAGTCAACCGTGCACGGCCTCTGTCTATTTATATGATTGGTATTTACAGATCTAATATATTAGGCGACCCGCTACTTAAAGCAAATATGAGAAAAGTTTTAAATGTAGCTACAATTGAGATGCTGAGAGCGCAGGTACACGTTCAAATGTCCACTAACAACTTATTATAGCTGGTCTGTGGAAAAAAAACCTCTAGCCATTTCATTAGCAGGATGGTTTCTCAAGGTCGCCAACACATGAAACTTGTTTACTCGGCGCCTCTTGCCAAACAGTTTTAACACATTCAGGCAGAAGGGAAAATAAATAAACCGCAGTCAGCCGTGCAATTTGCGTTTCCTCTTCCAAAGCTAAATTTGTCTTGTCTCGCAAAACACCACCCATCCTCTTTCGATTTTTTTCTGTCTTGACAGCAGCCGTGAACCAAATGTATCACATAGACGCCCAGCTTTTCTGCTAGGTTCAGGGTACACGGGAAATGTGGTAAATACGAGCACTCCTAGTTTGCGTGAAAATTCCGTTCCCGTCGGGGTTTCGTCGGTGGATTACTGCACCGCTGCTGTAAACAAACTGCATGTTGAGTTAAAATGCAGACAAAAGTTGGGGAGAAATTGGTCACAATGTGTAAACTGTGTGCTCCAGATGTTTACCCACATTATAATATAGCAGCAGTAACAGAATATGCTTCATTGGGTTTTAAATAACTTAATGATAATAATTTTTAAAATGCAAAAAATGTTATTATGCAAAAGATTATGCAAAAATTTTATTAGCAGTCTAAAAATCATTCAGATAAAGGTATATAGTAATAATAAAGGAACAGAGTACAAAATAAAAAAGTAAATGCAATAATATTTTAAAATATTTTACTTTTTCTCTCCTCCGCTGCCTATTGTGTTGTAAATTTCATTGTTTTTCTTTATGCTACCTGTTCTGACCTGTCTCACCGACGTGACGTTTGTGTAATGTATGTATGGTCGGAAGAGGTCCTGTGTCGCTGCAGGCAACTGCAAGTGACAAATAAAGCTTCTTCATCCAAAGAAGAGTCTCTCCTTTAAGATCCAACCATGCAGTCAATCTTATATTAGACTGTATAGTCACAGCTTGGGGTGCCACGTGGTAAAGAGAACAACATTTCGCATCTACGCCTTAGAAAAAGTAAGAAAACGTCTAAATTCTCCCTTTGTTCAACGGCCTGAATGCGTCATTTTCTTTGCTTTGCTCAGTTCGTTTCTTTTTCTTCTTCACTGTTCTCTTTTCTGTGTGCACGTGCGCGCGTGTACGTGCGGGGGGTGGCGGCTTGTTCCTGGAAGAGCCCAGCCTGCCTGCAGAGTCACTCACATTCCTGGCCGGGATTCAATGACTGAGCCAGACACACAAACGCAAAGGGAGGGGGCGTGTGAGTGAGCGCGCGACAGAGAGACCTAGACGGAGCGCGAGGGAGAGCGAGAGAGAGAGACACGCGCACTCAGACTGGGGGAGAGAGAGCTCTCGCGAGCGGACTGGCTCTTCAGACTTCTCCTCTCCGCGCAGTCAGAGTGAACTGCGGGGGCAAACGGGGTGGATGTTTCGTCCTCGACAGCGGAAAGAACCTCAAATAAGGATTTTTACATTTCGTTTTCAAGCCTGACAAACGGAACTTTTCGCCTCGGTGGAGTTTGGAAGCCGTTTTTTCTAATATGGACAGTCGGCTCACTGCTACAGGGAGCGACTGGTCGGTGTTGACTCACACACGGGAATAAAACTGCAGCTGGGACTTTTTTCCTGGATGGTTGATGAGGCGTTTCGCACATCTGATCAGCTCTGGGACGCGGTGGATTTACCAGGTTGAAGGACGCCTAGCTGGTTGTGATTCCCGGTCGACCGTAGGAAGGATTTACGCATCTAAAGTTGCAGGAAAAGCATGGAGACTGTAAGTCGGCCGAGCTTCCAGCCTCATCCGGGACTGCAACAAACTCTCAAGCAGTTTCACCTCAGCTCTATGAGCTCGTTGGGTGGACCGGCCGCTTTCTCTGCTCGCTGGCAACATGAGCTGCTCTTTAAGAAGGACGGGAAGGAGCCCGAGCCGGTTCTGCAGCATCTGCCGCCGCCCGTGATGCCCGGCCCGCTCTTCATCCCGTCGGACCGCTCCACGGAGAGGTGCGAGACGGTCCTGGAGGGAGAGACCATCTCCTGCTTTGTGGTCGGCGGGGAGAAACGGCTGTGCCTGCCGCAGATTCTCAACACGGTGCTGCGGGACTTTACCCTGCAGCAGATCAACTCCGTGTGCGACGAGCTGCACATCTACTGCTCTCGCTGCACGGCCGACCAGCTGGAGATCCTCAAAGTCATGGGGATCCTGCCCTTCTCGGCGCCGTCCTGCGGTCTCATCACCAAGACGGACGCAGAGCGGCTCTGCAACGCCCTGATCTACGGAGGCGCTTACCCGCCGCGCTGCAAGAAGGAGATGAACGGAGGCTCGCTGGAGCTGCAGTTCACCGACAGGAGCTTCAAAGTCTACCACGAGTGCTTCGGCAAGTGCAAAGGCTTGTTCGTGCCGGAGCTGTACACCAACCCGAACGCAGCGTGCATCCAGTGCATGGACTGCAGACTAATGTACCCGACCCACAAGTTCGTGGTGCACGGCCACAAGGCGCAGGAGAACAGGACTTGCCACTGGGGCTTCGACTCGGCCAACTGGAGGGCGTACATCCTCCTGGGCCAGGATTACACGGAGAAAGAGGAGAAGGCCCGCCTGGAGCTCTTCCTGGACGAGATTAAGGAGAAATTCGACTTCGCCAACAAGTACAAGAGAAAAGCATCATCCAAGGTAAGCTGGTCTCCGAGCTCTAACTGTTGCAGCTTGTTATCCGCCACCCTTCTCCTTAACGTTAAAACGAGCGTGGGTCACCAAACTTTAAACATGTCCGAGCAAACACGTTTCAGGAGTGGATGCTGAGCCTGACAGTGTCTGGTCACTGCTGCTACTGTGGTCTTACTAATTGGGCGTCATCCAGCAGCGACAACAATATGCCTCTGGTGGCAATAAAGCCATTATCTGGCCGTGAAACACCTTAAAGGGTAGTAAACAACAGTTGTGAGATAATGTTGTCACTCCTTCAGAACACTGTGGTTCAGTGGGTTGCTGTCTGTGACTGTCTCTATCTCCAGTGGGTGAGCTAGACCTGACTGTTAGTGTGACAGACAGAGCTGGTATCATATGTGTCATTTTACTTGTCTGTGGTTTAATCAGTGCTGATGTCATTTCCCCCTCTCTCTAGTCTTATCCATGTTCTCTTGTGTTCTTGTTTGAACAGTCCCAGTAATCAGGTTTTAGGTTCTGCGCGCTTTCAGTGGTCACACACCTCCAGCCTCAATCATCAGGTTTGTTTTTCTGAGCTTTAAAGCTGCATGGAAAGACTCTGTGTTAGCTTTGGTGTTTGCAGACTGATCCCACTCCTGTAGGGGGAAAAGGGCTAGTGAGCCCATTTGCATGAACTGTTACACATGAATGGAGCTGATGAAGCGGGGTTTAGAAGTATTGTGGTGGAAACATAACATGATCCCAACAAAGGGAAGCATTCAGCAAACATCAGAACCCCTCTACCAGGCCAGTCAGCCACCTGACAGGGCTCCTTTTGCCTACTCTCCCTCTCCTCGGTGGACTTGTAGAGCAGAGCGGAGTTGTTGATGAGGCTCAGAAAGCAACAGCACAAGTGTTTACAAGAGTTTTCCTCCACTCCTCCACTGAGGCTTCTTTCAGAAAAACCTGCCAAAGAAAGGGAGATCAGGGAGGCCCTTGAAGTCCTGAAGAGTGCCAGAGTCCTACCATGCACGGTGAACACACACTCTTGGCACACACTTTTATTCAGACTTGAGTGGACACACCTCAAGGAGCTCCACTTTCAGGGGGCTCTTGTGTTTTTCCAAGTGCTGACGGGGCGCCCGAATGTTAAGCTCAAGGCTTGTTTGAAATGCTTTTTAATTCAAGCCCTGCCCCCGAGCATCTGAGGGACTGCACACAGGTTGAGAAATATTGTTGCTCTCCTTTTTCTCAACACATTTGGGCCTAGCTGAGGAAATGTTTGTGGAGGATGTCGCCACAGCGCCTTACTTTGAAATGCGTCACTGTTGTCAAAGGAGGGCAGCTCAGTGAATATTAATAAGAGTGATAGAAAAGTGTCAGCAGCAGTCTCGCATAGCAGACAGACACAGGAAGCGATATTGCCACACTTCCCTCCTTGCAGACGCTCTTTTGAAAGCTTCCTCCTGAGACGAGTGAATCACAGAGTAAAAAAAGCTGTCCACATTTAGCAGCGTGGCTCCAGTTGTGGAGAAAGTGTGAACTTGAAGTTCACTTTTCCTTTTTTTGTCTTGTAGGATTCATACACAGTGCAGGCTGCAAAGCACAAATGCATTGAAGCGTTCCACGTAGGTTGGGGAAGGTTTTCCTGCGCAGGCCGGCCCCAGATTGCCATGCCAGGCTTCTGCTTTCTGGCTGGCACACATAATGAGTGGGTTTCCACATCAGGATGTGGAGATAAGGCTTGTGGTTGCAGATTTAGTGTGACACTAACTTTATAATTTGGCCTCACGATGACGTCGGCTCTGCACAGTCTGCCTGGTTTAGAGAGATATGAGGAGTGAGGGTGGCTGTGGTGGATGGTGGTGGGCAGCTGAAGCTCGACTTGTGCTTGGCTTTGAAAAAAAGTTTACCTCAGACTTTTTTGGTTTGTTTGGGTTTTGGCACCTTCCTACGTGGAGAGGGCCGTCCTCGGGCTTCTTGGTTACTGTATTATTATTATTATTGTTGCTTCATCAGTCTGTGCTCATGTTGCAGATGTGCGCCTCCTCAGAGTGGTGAGCATGTGTACACGACTGTTGTAACTGGTCTTGAGCAAAGCATGTGTGTCTGCTGAGCTTTCAGGTTCCTCCTAAAGTGCTGGGATGGGATTTGTTCAGAGACAGATGTGCACTAAAAACCAGCCAGAACAATAGCAGAGGCCATTTTGCGTCGATGCTCCACATATGCTGCGTTGTTGTGCTGACAACCAACACATTCCTGCAGGCTGTTTCCACGTGTGGCTGAGGAAAGGCTCAAACCAAACCTACGTAGGGTTGGAACGCACAACTGTCGAGTCTGAATATATCCTTCCAAGTCAGGGCACTTCTTAAATCTCTAACGTGCAAAAGCCAGCACTTCCCTTTCTGCTGCCCCCACCCTGCTACCCCCGGTGCTTGGAATATCTGGCCTCCAGCTGAAGGAGCTGCTTGTTTCAGGAGAGACGTGGGGCTGTGGTGGTGGGGGCTCAGAGGAAGTGAACTCCCACAGGGGATATAGGCCCATGTCCTGTTTCATATGCAAGGCGCAGTGCTGGCTAAGCCTGCTGACAGCCAGCCATGTCCACACAGCAGACAGAACAACAGCTGGGAGCTGTGCGTTTCAGTGGCTGTTCAGGGAATATTTCCATTCTGATCCTGTGCAGCAGTCTGCATTGGAGCCCGACTGTGTGGCTGTTTCGGTCAGTTTGTATACTTTCCTATTTTCCTTTTCATAAAAAGTGCATTTTGTGCCCTGTGCTGGGAGAGGACACCAATTCAGTCAGGGCTCTGTAATGAGTTCTGCTGCTGTATTAAAAACTATATTTTGGGCCGTCCCATTAAAAACACGACTAACATGATAGAGTCGTGTCTCTGGTTCGAGCTGTGGGTCAGAACAGTGTTGGAAATGAACCACCTCACTGTGTGAATGGTGCTTCAGTCTTTGCTTGAAGGTATGGAGCGCATTCAAAGACAAAAGTATTCTTCACTTTCTAAGAATATTTAAAAAGAGTGTTTCATAGGGTTGCTGCTTTCTTCTTCTATGCTGGCAATGAACAACAAAAAGCATGTGTTTTGCTCTCCTATATGGAAAAACACATCAGCGATGAATCATTGTGCTCCATGACAAAAACTCTGAGGACCAGCCATAAGATGAAAAGTCTGTTTCCACTGCAGCTGCTCTCAGGACAGGCCTCTCTGTGGGAGCAGGGTGTACGGCTGCTTAGGTTTGCTTGGAACGTTTCTCAAAAGGCTGCGACTCCAGCGGTAGTGGAAATGAACTGGGTGCAGTGATTGTCTTCATACAGCACGTCTCCTTGCTACAAGCCGTTTGTATCAACAGTTTTTAACTTTTGCAAACAAAAGGACTTTTCTTTCCTCGTGTACTGTGCACAGTCCTGATTTCTGATTATCAGGTATTTCAAATAGGGCTTCAAATTTACAGAAGCTGTGAGATGTTCAGTGGCAACACGTTACTTGAGTAAAATTTGATTGGATTCACAGCTGAGAAGAACTATTTCTTCCAACATGTGAGAAGTGAAATCTTCGGTGAAATACACAAAGAGCAGTGGTGCCGAAACTCGGCGCTGCAGTCATATCTCTGCCTGCTATGGACACATACTTGCTTTAAGTCAATAAGTGTCTGCCTGTCCATTTCAAGAAGATGGAGGGGTGAAAAAAGAGCAGGCCAGATGAGGTTTGTGCGTGGCTGCATGCAGGTCATCTGGGAAAATTTGAATATCGGTTTGACGAGCCAGTAGCGTGCGTGACAATCAAGTGTTTCCTTCCCGTCTTTGACATTCCTGTGAGAATATTCCGAGCCGTATGATAACACAAGCACACACGGCTGGCTGTGGCTGTTCTTATGTTTTCAAAGGACCTTAAGTGTGTCTCATTGGGATTATAGCACAGGTAAGAGAAGAGCCAGTGACCTGATCCAGGTGTCTCGTGGGACAGAAGCTCTTTCTCAGCCAAATGATGGAATTTGGTGTCTAGTTTGACTGTTAGCCACAGCTGATGGTAGGTAACCATAGGCATGTTTGTTTAATGAGGTGGTCTGTGAATTATTCATCAGCATAACTGGACGTGCCCAAGCAGCGCGATCTCCCCTGCAGCTCCTTCCCCTGCAGCTCCTTCCCCGGTAGTGTTTACATAGGTTGAGCTGTGAAGAGGGGACAGTGTTAGTGATGTGCTTAAAAATAAGTTGGTCAAAAGGTTTGACAGTTTTTTGGTCTTTAACATCAGAGAATCAGGCAGTCAGGCTTCCTCCAGTCCTCCTGCTGGTGAGCTCACCAGTGCTGAATGTTGAGACATGTCACATTTTATTCTTACAGGTTTTTCAGTAAAAAGATTTCAGTGTGAGTCTTACAAAGACAAGTGAACATTAGTCTGATGCACTGAAGCCTAACCCAGCACCTGGGTGATGTTAACTGAATGGTGCAGCCTGTCCACACTCTGTGTATGGAGTGCATGGATGATTAAAAGAGAGTCATATCTATAAAAGTTTTTTTCCCATGTCTGTATAAAGTGCAGAGGAAGATGCGAGATCAGGCTGTGGAGATAATCTGATGTGTATGTAGGACATGCGTTTCCATGGAAAATTCCAATCTTCTGCCGTCTTGGTGTCTTTCCTAAAGCTTTTCTTAATCTTTGACAATAAACGCCGCGATCGTTGGTGAGGGATGCCGTCTAGATGGATCCAGGATGAACTGGAGTCCGACGGGAGGGGGGAGGTTACTTTCTGCTGTGTCAGACCAGGAGCAGCCTTTGTGTATGATAGCAGCCACTGGCGGTACCCCATCCCCCCTCATGCTGTTTGTAGGGCAGCTAGTATTGCATGACCTTTCCCTCCCCAAATAAAGAGGTGACCCGCCTCACCCCTCGCCTCTCTTGACGACCAGTCGGCCAATGGCGTGTGGCTTAGCCGCTCCCACGGGGCAGATGGCTGTCTGATGAAGGCAGCTAGTCTCACATACTATCAAATAAATGAGATCCACCGTGATACAGTAA